CTTTTGTATTCAATAATATCGATAACTTCTCCCTTTAATAAACTTTGTTCCAAGAAATAATGAGTAATTATACTCTAAGATGTACTTATCCTAGTGGGTAAACTTTGAGCGCGGGATATCAAATAAAAATGGTAGATTGCTACACTGATTACTTGACTAATCCTTAATTAGTTTAGACTTCATATAGTATTGGATCACCTTCTATTGTTCTGAAATTAAATGCATATGTGATAAAGTCAATATGCACTGGTCCTACTCAGTTTTCAATTCTAATCGAGCCTGATGTTGCCGCAATAACATACAATAGTACTAGCATAGTAATATCTTCTTCAAACTCATCTCACAAAGGAAATTATCAAGTAACAGTTAAATATTATAACTTCTATGATAACACTAAATTTACTGCTTTTCCATTTCCTGTAAAAATTTCTTGCGAGTACTCAATTGTTGCTAATTTTGTTGGATTAAGTAATTATCAATATACAGTTGGAGATGGCCCTAAGGAGCTAGATATGATACTACAATATTCACACTATTGTGGATACTAAATTTCTGTGCAAGCTTATTTGAAAAGTATGTCTGGCCCTATTTCACTCCCCTCTTATATTTCATTTAATCCTTCAACAATGAAGATTACTGTAGATTCAAGTGACAATAATAATGCTGGGCAATATGAAATCAATTTTAAGGCTACTTTAAATGGTGTTTTTGACTCATCAGATATCGCTATAGCTTAGCAATTCAATGATGAAGTGAGTATTATAATAAATGTTATTGCATTCACAACTACTACTACAACTACTACAACGTCTACGACTACTACAACTACGACGACATCGACAACTACCACAACTACCACTACATCGACAACAACTACGGAGGAACCAACGACAACGACAACTACTACAACAACAACAACTTCAACATCAACTACACCAGAGCCTGAAACCACGACAACCACTACATCAACTACACCAGAACCTGATACAACAACAACTACTACTACAACATCAACTACTCCAGAACCCGATACAACCACAACAACTACTACAACATCAACTACTCCAGAACCTGAGACTACGTCAACCACAACTACTACAACATCAACTACCCCAGAACCTGAGACTACGTCTACCACAACTACTACAACATCAACTACCACAGAACCTGAGACTACGTCAGCCACACCTACTACAACATCAACTACCAAAGAACCTGAGACTACGTCAACCTCGACTACCACTACTTCAACAACAACATCATTACCAGATACCACGACAACTTCGACGTCAACCACACCAGAACCTGATACAACAACAACTACTTCAATATCAACTACCCCAGAACCTGAGACTACTACCACAATAATTACAACAGCATCAACTACACTAGAGCCTGAAACCACGACAACTACTACATTAACCACACCATTGCCGGATACCACGACGTCAGCCACACCAGAAATTGATACCACAACAACTACAGTATCAACCACACCAGAACCTGACACCACAGCAAATTCAACGACATTTTCAAACACTTCTGAACCTGAGATTACAATATACACAACATCAGCCACATCTGAACATGAAACTATAGCAGCAACAACTACATCTACTACATCTGAACCAGAAACCATATAAACCACTCCTACCACAACGACAGCAGATTCAGAAATTACAACAACACCAACACCTGAGATCACAACTATACCTACAACTTCGTCCTCAATAACAACAGAAAATGAAACCATACTTACCCTTACTACTTTAGAACCTTAAATATCAAATATTAGTGAAACATCACTGCCTAATTCAGAAATATCATAAACTACATTAACATCATCTCCTACTACTTAATAGTCTGCTACTCCAGAACCAGAAATTACAACCTAATAACAAGAGATCACAACTACATAAAATAGTATAAACATAGTAACAACATCCCAAGAAACTACAATTGAAACTTTAATGACTACTGATACACCTATATCTGAATTTTCAACCGATATTACTTCAGTACCTTCAACTAGTGTATTGACAACAGAAACAAGAATTTCTGAAATTTCAATAGATACTTAATCGACAATTGAGACAATAAGTACAATAGCACCAACAGAAATATTTTCAGACTCAACATTAACTTAAACTTAATTAACTAATTATTAAGAGTAATCTACCTCTACTGTGGCTCCTGAAGAAACCTATGATTAAATTACTACAGAAACGACTATAGAATAAACATCATAATCTACATAAACTTCAATATCAACTGAGGAATAATCCACAACTGTTGAATTCACTTCAACATAAACTCAAACAAATATAGATACAACTACTCCAGTTCCTGAAGATACAACAGACTTTTCTAAGACCTATATTACTTCTGACACAGATGTGCCAACTACATCAGACTCATAAAGTTCTACTTCAGCACATTCTACTACTGATGAAATTACAGAATAAGAAACCACATAAGTTCCTTTCACTAACTCTTAAACTTCTTAGAGTCTTACACCTGCTCCACAGACTTTTTAATAATCAACTACAGCGGCTGCTTCTACTTAAGATACTCAATTTTCATAAACTACAACTTAAATGATAGTGATAGTCATTACTTCTACTTAAAAACTCTTGGAAAATTAAACAAATATTCTAATGACTAATTCACCTCCAATATTCATTTTAAAACCATAGAATCTTTTAGTAGTCGCTGGACGGCAGCTAATCTACCCTCTTCCTTCGGTGTTTGATAAAGAAAAAAATACAGTTGTGATTGCATTAAGCTTAGATAGAAATTAGAACTTCATTTTTCTGAACAATTCAAAAA